TTATTTATATATATATATATATATGTGTGAGAGTGAGAGTGCCATTCCAACAACGCTAATGATGAGTTTGGTTTTATCAGTTTGTAGTGTTCACTATCAAATCGTATATTTATACATATCAATTAAGAAGGTTTAATAGAAGTAAATGATCTAGTGATAACCAAAGATGACGATACTATACTTTTATTTAATAACAAATTGTATAAAGTGATTGTGAAGACGAAATTAATAACGAAGTCTGAACTCTAATAAAACGTGAGTAAATGTAGCTGAAATATATATATATACTATGTTGCTTGGTGTATTGCACATATACCTTTCGAAAGCTCGAACACCTGGAATGGTTCTATCTCTTTTGAGTTTACTATTAGCTAATTACTAAATTCAAAAAATAAACAGTCCGTGTGTACAGCTGCAGTGAGTTCTCCAATGAAAAAGCAGATGTATTCTCGACTTTCTGCTTTAAGAATGTCAATATATACATCTATTGAAATAAGGTGGAAGTTAAGCGTTATGTGACGCTTGCTGAGTTGTGTAACGCATATCTTCTCTGTTTCTGAATCCAATATATGCAGCCTTTGAGGCTTTGTGTTAGATCTCTGGGTAAATTACAGTTTCAGTGAAGTCACCTGGTTCGGCTATAGAAAGCTTAAATATATATATATCATTTTCATAAAGGAAGCTTTTATACAATGTGTCTTATGAAAATACGAAATATCTCATAAAAATATTTATAGGGTCCAAAAATGGTATCAGATACGAGTAGTTTAGTAAAACTCATAAACTCAACTGAAGATGTGGAATCAAACCAAAACACAAGTCAAGCAGAGGAAGAAAGCAAGGTAAAGAACAGCCTATACTACCTGATGCTAGAACAAGGAAACAAGGTAAAGAACAACCTGTACTACCTGATATTAGAACAAGGAAACAATATAAAAAACAACCTGTACTACCTGAGATTAGAATAAGAAAACAATATAAAAACAACTTGTACTACCTGAGATTAGAATAAGAAAACAATATAAAAAACAATCTGTACTACCTGAGATTAGAATAAGCAAACAATATAAAAAACAACCTATACTACCTGAGATTAGAATAAGCAAACAATATAAAAAACAACCTATACTACCTGAGATTAGAACAAGGAAACAAGGTAAAGAACAATCTGTACATCCTGATGTTAGAACAAGGAAATAAGGTAAAGAACAATCTGTACTACCTGAGATTAGAACAAACAAACAAGGCAAAGAACAAATTATGCTACCTGAGGTTAAAAAAATAAAACAAGGTAAAATAAAGCCTATAATACCTGAGATTAGAACAAATAAACAAGGTAAAGAATAGCCTATGCCACCTGAGATTATACTTAGCAAAACAAAAAGAAGCCGTGTTTGTTTTACTGGTTAGTGTGCTTGAACTCTAAATAAGTGAGTTCACGATTTGGGAACGATGATACAACAACGCAACCTCTAGTCCAGTGATACCCGTCTTTTTCCATCCCAGTACCTTTTTAGTCATCAGGTAAATCAGTCATTACCCCCAACTGCAACAGTCCGAAGTTTGAAGAAAACCTAACTTCAGAGTATTCAATAAGCCTCTGGATTACAGTTTTATGGGATTTTTTCGAAGTTGAAGGGGAGTTGAAACTTTCAAATGTGGGGAAAAAACAATACTTCACAGTTAAAACTTGATTTTTATTACATTCGATTGTGTCAACACAAGGTTTTATCAAAAAATGCTAAATAAAAAACAGAAAACATACAGCACATAAGTACAATGATAATGATATTTTAACTACCATACAACTCAATTCAAATCATTCAATATTTGTCAGTTCAGTAGGAAGCCTGAAACTGCATTTTGGCAACTAAACGACTGATTCTCTGTACTGTAACAGACAGAGCACATCTCAGATCTCCTTTCATTTTCAATTTGCTTTGCGTCTTCGTTTCGATGGCGAAAAGCCCTGATAACCCGGTTTCACATTTCTATGTGGTTGAAAAAAGGAATCAAAACTTTGATTGCCCTAAATGCTAAAACTGGATACTCTCGGCGTATCCAAAATATGAATGTTTCAATGTTAATGAATTCAGCTCTGAGAATTGTGTCCTATCTCAAAGACCAAAATTTCGTTTTTACCCCGACGTCATCATCAGGAAGAACATCGTCTCACACAGAGAAAAGTCTCAAAGTCCAAGCATATTTTTTTTTTTACTCTCTTCTATGTACGGGAAATAGTTGGCGATTGTTTCATGAACGAAACTTAAATGTTTTTTTATTCCACCATGGAAGAAACAATTATTTTGGAAGTCTCCAGCTGCAATACCATTTCAGGAAACACACTGATACCACCAGCAGTCACTCTCTGCTCACATAGCTGTAGTTTCCGAAGAAACTCGGCAACTGCGTCTTTGTCCGTGAGCATGTTTATCAACTTACCTCGAAGCTTTAAGTTGAGAGTTGACCTCACAGAAAATATCTGCAAGATAAGCCAATTTCAAGATAAACTGGTTATCTTACAACTTTCCGTGAAAGTCTTTATCTTTTGCTGAATGGCTTCCTTTAAGAAACATTGCAATTTGGTCCTTTAGCTCCAATACGCGATTTACATCTGTACCACGAAACCTTGAAAATTCTCAAATTCAGAGCGTTCCCGCAAATAAGATTTATTATCTTCACTACGCTGTGGAAGACCTACGGAAGGCCGACTGGAAGCGTTATCACATCTAAAACATACCGATGGATAACACAATGCGTAAGCTTGATGTGTGATGCAACTCGCTTAACATTGGCTTCAAACCTTCAGTAAGCACCAAGCATTGAGGGTTTCCATCAGTACCCACTTCAACTAAATCGTCTCATTGCAAACCATGCTTTTATAAGAAACTATGAATTGTGCTGAAGACATCCTCTCCACGAATGGCTGTTGCCAGAGGTTCCTAGAAAAGAAATTCCTTCTTCAATCAGTCTTTCATCACATGACGAGTGAAAACAACAAATTGGGAACATGATGCACGTCGTTGGACACATCGGGGTGTATTGCAAAATGCCTTCTTTCTTTCACCTATGTTATCACTTATTACAAGATATCTTCGCTCATTTCAACACACGACAGGAAAATCACTAACCGCTAATGTCCATTACCTCTTGGAAAATACGAAATTTCCCCGAGTGGGGTAATTACCCAAAGGTTGGGAACCACTATTTTAGTCGATCAGTTAGAAATTAGAGACGATTATACTAAGCTAGCCCTCGTGTGAGAAAGGACAACACGCTATAATAAACATAAAACTGGGTCTGGAATAACATTACAAAAAAGCCATTATAGTGATTCTCACATAAATATTCCCGAGTTCTTACTTAGTACCCGATAACGACACATCAAACAACCCATACCTTTTCCCACCTATTTTTTAAGGTTTCTCATTCTTATCGATTGATTCTCTAAAAATTAATGTTATTCAATGTTTATCCATTAAAGTTATCTGCTTAAAAACTTCCGGTATGTTTTAGTTGAAATACCTTTGAAATCAGCTTATATTTCTAACAAACAGATTGAACTATATAAAGTTAAGACGGCCTAATTTCATCACTAATATTTTCCTATCCTTATTTCGTCTTTCAAGACTTCTTGGATTGCCTGTGTAGCGTCATCACTTGCTTTTATCCTATGTTCCGGTTCATTAGTGTTCATCTTGAAGGCTTTGACTTCGATTAAAGAATTTTACTTTCCGTTCTTCATTACAACTGTTCGAGTTTTGTTCACTCTTCTGGCTTTAGAGATTCTTAGGAATCTGAAACTTATTAATCTCTCTGTTTTAACACTGGAAGAAAGTAAGTAACTTTGTTATTTATGGTACTAGTTGTTAACCAAGTGATATTTATGTTGGGACTGATCTAACCAAAGAGAATGTATTAATTATGTGTGTTTTTGTCTTTACTAAAACTACAAAATCTAACACAGCAACTTAAAACTAATCAGAATTTTCGTTACAAGCTGTGTTTTTAGTGTACATTGTGTGATTCGAAAGAAAATTGACCATAACAGTTTTTATTGAAAGCTTTAGTTTTAAAAGCAGCATTTCTATTCCATGAAGATAGATAATTTAGCGTCTACTGGTGACTCAGCGATATGTCTGAGGGCTTATAACGCTAGAATTAATTACCCGCGGTTGGCAGAACACAGATAGCCCATTATACACCTTTGCGCTTAACATCAAACAAAAGGTAATTTAGTTTTCATAAATATCGTTACTAATTCTAATGCTGGTGGAAGGAACTTAGACTGTTCTGACTGAAAAGTAAAAAAAAACATAAACGACCGAGCTTCCATCAAGATCTGTCAAATATTTTACATTTAAATCAAATTCAACAATATCAATATCTCGTTGTTTCGTTCAATGTTAACAGTTGAACTTATCGTAATACAACAGATACTCAATGTATACTTTGTTCACACACATACCTTTATACTCTTTCATATCGAAATAAACCTTGAAGTTATTTGATTTTGCAGTTGGATGTAGCACATGGGTTTTGTTCACCTGGGAGTATGAAACTTAGTGGATAGCGAATTCCATAGCATGATCAGCAGTCCTAAGTTACCTTAATTCTCATCAGCCCAAATAGATCAATGACTGATACTTTTATCCAAGCGAGCTTTTTGTCATTTTGGGGTGTAGAAGACAACTTTCTGCAGGCTTTATTTAATTCTATACATTTGTATTCTTTTAAGCTACACAAACATGTTTAAACACATCGTACTGTACTGTAAGAACGTGCTATTCTCAGGTCATCTAGAGACTCTATAGTTTTCTTTGTAAGTTTCCAGGATTTTTGATAGTGAACGTAATCTCATAACCCATCAAGATATATTCATATTATAAAAGTAATACTGGTAGAATTAACACGCTAGGCAAATCTACTTCTCCATATGAATACATATACAATGTATTTTAAACGAATTCATTATTAACATAGGATTCACCTACTGCAATGTTGTGTAGCTAAGGATTAATATTATTTCAAGAATTTCTTACGCGTATTTTGCGTCATGTAAGATCTCTTCATTCCTGTAGAATGTACTACGTTTTTCTTTATACGGTACAAAGTAATCTATAAATGGAATCATTCAGCGGTTCATTATTCTACAGAATTAGACAAGGTAATGTTTTAGCTACTCGTAACTATGTTGCTGAATTTCTACGGACAATTCCTTTACATATATTACTGTTACTTTTACTACCAGGCCCGGCATGGCCAGGTGGTTAGGGCACTCGACTCGCAATCTAGGGATCGCGGGTTCGAATCCCCGTCTCATCAAACATGCTCCCCCTTTCAGCCGTGGGGGTGTTATAATGTGACGGTCAATTCGTTGGTAAAAGAGTAGTCTAAGTGTTGGCGGTGGGTGGTGATGACTAGCTGCCTTCCCTCTAGTCTTACACTGCTAAATTAAGGACGGGTAGCGCAGATAGCCCTCGTGTAGCTTTGCGCGAAATTGAAAAACAAACACACAATTTACTGCTTTCTGTAAACCAGTTTTCGTGGGTCACTTGTATTTTAAATTGTTTTACCTATTCATTCGTATTATCTCTAAGAACAAACCTTGCCGTTTCCGGCGTGTATCCTTTTTGGAGTTATTCGTTTCTATAGAAACAGACATAGTTTTCATTAAGGTATATACTTTGAATTTCTTTGCTCGATTCTACATGATTCAAATACACCATTTTGGTCGACCTATCTCTCTTATCTATGTTCTCTGATTATTTAATGATAGAACGCATCTTCGTGGTGATAACTATGTATTTTAACATTTTTTATAACTGAAACCCCTCAGCATGCAATGCATTATCACTTCTGAAAGTCTTGATTAGGTTTTTTGTTTTAAAGTTTTCAGGAACACGGTAATTTTGAATGTTTGCACACTTGAATAACGCGTAAAGAGTGATATTGGTCAAACAAATACTACATGCAACCTATCTTATCTTCTTTTTTTTCAGGTCAGTCATTTTTATGGCCAACTATTTGTTATATCATTCAGGTCACTACTAGTTTAGGAGCGATGAAGGGAATGTCTATTCCTCTGTATACCAGCATCAAGAGATGTGGCCCCTTGATTAACATGGTTTTATCAATAATCTTACTGAAGAAGAAGAAACCGAGTTGGCTGAGTCAAGTGTCAGTAATCTTAGCTGCTATTGGATGTGTGATTTCAGGTAAATTGAATGTAAACAAATTAGACAAGAAATTTTTGGCCCAGCATGGCCAGGTGGTTAGGGCACTCGACTCGCAATCGGAGGGTCGCGGGTTCGAATCCCCGTCCCACCAAACATGCTCGCCCTTTCAGCCGTGGGAGCGTTATAATGTGACGGTGAATCCCACTATTCGTTGGTAAAAGAGTAGCCCAAGAGTTGGCGCTGGGTGATGATGACTGCTTACACTGCTAAATTAGGGACGGCTAGCGCAGATAGCCCTCGTGTAGCTTTGCGCGAAATTAAAAACAAACAAACAAGAAATTTTCTATTATCAAATATTTTCGTAACATAATAGTACAAAATGTAGTTCATTATTTTGCATGAAAGTCAGGGTTTTGAACATTTTAGTGACACGCACAGAGCCCATTGTGTAGCTTTGTGCTCAACTACAAGCACACATTTTTTTATAAATAAAAGTGATTGAAGGTGTAATTTAAAACTGTTATATTACAATCTCTTCTACTAAATAGAATATATTAATATTTCTTTCAATTTATATTTCGTTTCATTTTAGGAACTGGTGAATTAACAGTGAACTATCGAGGCTATGTGAATGCTACAGTGAGTCTCCTTTCTAAATCATTTTATTTTACCTTAGTTGAAGCCCAAGACTACGGAGTTTTAAAATTTATACAACTTCTCTGCTACAACTCGCTTCCTATTCTACTGTTTATGTCCTGGTTTACAGACGAACTAAATCAAGCTTTTAGTTTTATTCAGTCCTCAGGTATGTGTAATCGACGTCCATTTTATTTTTCAGTACTTTTTTTCAATGATTGATATAGAAAATTTTCTTGAATGGAAAAATTTAAGACCTATTATATTTCAGATCTTAGCGAAGTAACATTTGTCATTTCTATGTGTTTATAATTTTGGTAAATGACCATATTTATCTTCACAGAAAAGAGTATATCTGTGAGAAACTTTCGACTACTTTTAAGAGTTGTAGGTGGAAGATGTTATTATATGTAAACAACAAATAAATAGCAAAACGTTTATAAATGTACATCATGTAGCAGGTTTATCTACAGAATTCTTGTTTCTTCTTACTCAAAAAATTTCTTACGCAACTTTAACACAGAAAATAGGTTTCTCTGAGCACATAATAAAGGTTGTATCCTACAATAAACATTGGTTTTGTTCTCATTTCTGTTATAAAAGTATTTGATTATTTAACAGTACACATTGTATTGAAAGCTTCAATAACTGTAAAGATATCACATGAATAATTATATAGATGTAACATACATGAATCCTAGTATTTCTAATGACATTCCATTGGATGTAGCTTTATATTTGTTCCCAATAAACAAGCTGAAAGTGGGATAAATATTTAAAGAACAGTTACTACTAAAAACAATCAGATATCAGTGTATATTTCTTGAACTGTGAAGAATTAATTTTGTGAATGATACATAGACATTGAGAAACATGAATAATTACATTCTTCAGTATCTTATCAATGTCCAACTAAATTATAATCAATATAAGGTTTATCTTAACTAATTAAACAAAATAAAAAGGCACATTGAAAATTGTAGTATCGGAAAATGTCGTTTGGACTGGTGAGTTATTTTTACCATCTTTACTAAGATAGTTCTTTCCTTTTATAGAAATTCAACTTGGACACTAGTAAAGTTTAGTATAACTTCTGTCTTGATTTCTTGATCTCTAACAAGAAAAAAAATCATACAGACCTTTATTGGACCTTCAGAAGACATCTAAGACAAACAATTTTCTCAGAAATAGTCTGAATAGAATACCATTAAAAGATAATATTATAAACGATTTTTGAAAAGTTAGATTTCCAGAAAAATGTTTATAGTTTACGTGTTTTGAAATGAGTTCAATATATCCGCTCCAAAAGAATCATTGAATTTTTTTTTCATGTTTTGTATATTTTAAGATAAACGTTACTGTTAGTATGAATTTAAATATTTTAATAACTTTCATACGCTTATTGAAAGATGTATTATTAGTAATTAGATTAATAGTATTATATTTATTATACAGGCATACACCTCCCTTGCCAGTGGGCGAGCATTATGGTTGATGACTTAAGATATTAATATTCGGAGTTCGATCCCTACTATCGGTACAGCGCATTGAGCAGCTTTGCACTAAACCCAAAGAAATATAAAAGCTTACGAACAGACGTTTTGCATTTGTTTCAATGGTTTTGCTTTTTGCACGGATAGTAAATTGCGATTAACAACAAACAAACAAAATACCCTAATGTGTCATACCCTTTTCGAAATATGTACATCTAGAACGGAAATTACCACTTCTCATAAAGAATTAACGTTTTATAAGTACAGTCTGTTTTTGTTTTTAACTTCGTACCAATTTTTGAGATTCTTGTATGTGCAAGGTCTGTTGATAAACTGCTAAAATTTATTGCTTATGTGGTCTGAAATTTTCTTTTACATGCTTGTCCTAAATTTAGCAGAATCGAAATAGTATAATAAATTCATTTTGTTTCAGTCCATCAGTGGGTCAGTGTTAAGTTTACGAACATATAACCCTAAAATCCGGAGCTCCATTCCCTGTGGTAGAAAGAGCACAGATAACCCATTGTGTAGCTTTATGCTATAGAACATCTCACGCCCACTTTTGTTGCAAGGAAATCACAGTGAAATTAATTTAATCTTACTTTTATAGGTTCTTATAATATACAATCTTGACCAAAATGTTTGCATACTGTTCTATATTGATGTTTTTGTCTACATGTATGGAGTAGTTATTGAGCAAATGCCAGAGTAGTAACAGAAAAGGTAGCGTAAGACCAGATAAACATGTACGAGTTGTTTTGAGCATTTGTTCAAAACACACGTACACAACTGTTTCGTATAAAAGGGTACGCTTTTGGTATAAACTGTTTCGAAACAGATCAACGCTTTATTCAGACAATTTCTCTGTACTTGGTGTAGAGTCATGCCAAGTCACGTGCCAGAAGATATATGGTGTCAACTTGTTCGACTATCCAGAAATAGTATGAAGCAAACGGACATTGCCAGAACAGTAGGATACCCCCAGTGTACTCTATCCAGAATCCTAAAACGTCATCGGATGAAAGGAAACGTTATTCCAGAAAAGTGTACCGGTAGACGCCGATTAACTACTACCCGAGATGACCGTGTTTTGATCAGGTTAACATGTCAAGGTCGAAAAAAAGTCTTGCAACACCATACGACATTCATTCTAGGGTAACCAGAAAAACAGTGAATAGGAGACTAACCAAACAAGGTAATCTTGCAAAAAGGGCTATATGCAAACTGATATGAACCAGAATTCACTGCCGTCACCGTATTATTAGGGCAGGACAACATGCCAATTTACAGTGAGGACACTGAGCGACATGTCATTCTTTCTCATGAGTCCTGTTTCCGACTTGCTAAAGCTGATGGTAGTATTAGTGTTTGTCGTTTGCCTGAAGAACAAATGTGGGAAGACTATTTCTCACAGGGAACACACAGGAGGTTGTGCAGTACATGTTTGGGTAGCTATTCATCATGGTGGAAAAATTGCTCTTCATATGAACTTAAATGGCTCCTCCTACAGGCATCTCTTGGAGACGATATTTATAACAATTTGATGTTATATTTTGTCATTATGTATTTTATGGCAAGGTTTTGCTGTGATAGTTGAACTCCTGAATTACACTTCTTTCTACAGTTGTCTGATAAAAGTGTTTATTGCTCTAATGAATCGTTCATGATGACCATTGAGCCTGTTTCATTAAACAAATTGCATATCTAGATGTTTAATGTAACACGCATTTGTCATTTTGACAGCGCTAAGTGTTTTTTTTTTATTTCATCTTAACAATAATGATCTTATTTGTTACAAAACAAACATTTTGGCCAAGAATGTATCAACATTTGTTTCATTAGAATCAAAATAAGAAACAAATTCATGTGTCTTTAGATTAGGTGAGATTTTGCTTATATTTTAAGCTAAATGCGAGATTATATTTGCCTTCTATCAGCAGAAAATATAAAAAAATCTGTCTCTAATAAATTATGTCATAGAAAAATAATAATTGATATTTGTCAATAAAGTTATAAACAATTTAAACTTTTTATAAATGATCAGCATCAGACTGAAAGCCATTTGTTTAAAAATTAATTAATATCCCAATTCTTATGAGAAAAAAGAATGTTTTTATATGCAGGGGTAGTCAAGGGGGGGAAATCGAATGACCACCCTATATCGTAAAAAAACATAAAAAGTCTACTATCTTCTGATTTTTTAACAAACACTTCAATTGTATGTAAAACACTTAAATTTTTTGTGTTGAAGAAAAGGTCCACATTTTTGGATGGAAAAAGACACCCCTAGTCTGATATAATCTGTAGGGTTTACATGATTATTATAAAATTCGATAATTCAAACGATGCTGAAAACAAAATTATATTTAAATATAAAACTGACATATTAGGATTATTTATAATCATATACATTTTTCTATATTTTTTTATTTTCTAGATCTTCAATTTTTGACCCTGTTTGTCTTGACTGTGGTAATTGGCAGCTGTCTGGTGTATGTTGAATTTCTTTGTATCACACTAACTTCTGCTCTCACTGTTTCAATTCTTGGTACAATTAGAAGCCTCTGCCAAATCATCTTAGGATTTTTCTTGGTTGAAGGAGCACCTAGTAACACGCTCTTCCTATTGGGAATCGGCTTGAATTTTTTCGGAGGACTGCTCTACCTTACTGAAAAGTTACTACTAAAATCTAAATATCGTTATCAGTACGCTTGTTTTAGAAATTTCTTTGTAAGGCATGATCTGTAAATCGATAGTTTGTGTGACACTACGTCAAAATAAGACTGGTAATAGTTTTATATTGTAAAACCAAGTGACCTAGTATGGAAAGAAAGGCCTCATCGGCAGTAACGTACAATATGGAAAGAGTGTGATTGAAGTTCCATTACATTATTCTTACTAGAACCCTATATAGGGCCGGAAAAGAAAGATTGGATATAAAATGTTACCAGTCTTATTAGGATATAATATCACGCAAACTGCCAATCTAGAAATTTGTTAGTGTTAATTTTCTTTTTTATTATTCTTTATTGTTTTATTATTACTTACTTAATAGGTCCTGTCATTGCATTAGAACTAATTTCAACAAAGTTTTCAGTGTTTGATTTAAAATCTAAAGTCAAATCTTGAAAAAAATATATGTTGTTTTGACATTAATCCACTTTGTAAACATACAACTAGATATATTCTTTGTAATATAAATTCATATTCTTAATGCCATTCTTACTTTCCGAAAATGTACATTCTTAATCAAAGATACCGTTGTATAAGAGTTGTTTATGAAATAATCGATATTTCTTTAGACATAAGTAAATTGCAGCTAGTAAACGATTGTGGCCTTTCAGAAACTGAGCAGTAGATCTGCAGGCCTACGACGCTAGAAATCTGGTTTCGATACCCGTGATGGGCAGAACTTTGTGTAGTTTTGGGCTTAACAGCCAATTAAATTATTGTGTTAATAAGGCTGTACAAACGATTGCTTGCGATAGATATTACGTACTTCCCCGAAATTAAGTTCGACAACATCTATAGCAGCAGATGCAGTTCTGAAAACTTGTTTATTATCAGATGTACAAGTATAAAAATATATGACAACAAAGTTTCCCCAGGTTAACCTAGCATTATCAGTTACATCAAGTACTCCTTGTAGTTAATCTATCTGAAATTAAGGTATTTGATTGTATTATATTTCATGAGCTTTTGAGTAATTAATGGAACACAAAAATATATTTTATTTTATCCTATATTTCTAGGCAACACTCAGGCAACATACTTCTACGTATTTCTAGGCAACATACCATAAAAACGGCTGACAAGGGAATAGTGATGGTATACTGTAAGACTGATATCAAAAAAGGCTCATCTTTAAAAGTAACATATGAAACTGTATTCATTTTCATTGCTAAAAAGGTTGTTAACCATTGATTAGAATGTGACTGACAGTTCAATGAGATCACTAAACACCTTGAGAAGGAACTCTGTTAATATGACATTTAGAGGAATAATAGCACAGCCAGGCGTAACGATGGGTTCAAATATCTGATTGGGTGAATTATTAGTGTAAGAACAAGTGCAGAATAGAAGAAACAAACAAATCTGACGATCGCAATTAAATGCTGCTCATTTTACATTGCACAGTTATCCTACAGGTCTTCTAAGTTAAAGGGCGAAATTGAAATCAACTGAATTTACTAAACTAAGTGACGAAACTAAACTAAATTTGACGAAAGACTGAGATTAAAATATGGTAACGCACGGCCGACACATACCATACGAAAAAAAAAAAACAGCAGAACTTTATCGTATTTGTTGAGCATAACAAAGCAGGGGCTAATCTACCTGACAAAACTCACAAGTCATATTTTACCTCCAGATAACCAATCACAAATAGGCTTGTAAGAATGCGGAAGTAATTCCTAATCTATTCGGCAGCGGAAAGTATTTCCACGTACATAAATACATAGCTTCCATGACTGAGTTCTGCGACACAAAGTAACACCTAGTGTATCACATACCTCGACTAAATTGAGTATGTATTAAAATAAAACTTTAGAATTTTCTAAATATGAAATATATACCACGGGAAAGTTATATACGTGATATCTGTGTGCTATAGCCTTTCCTAATCCACATGAGAATTTGTGAATTCTATAACTTGGGATTAATTTCCTCCAAACACAAGTAGTTAATATTTCATCAGCTCGAGTGTATTCATTTGAAAAGGTTTCTTTCTGTCATGGGCGTCCGTAGAAATTTTTCCAGGGAGGGGCAATTAGTGTGAAACTGAATAAAAAAAATCATATACATATGCTGAACGAATAAAGAAAGAAGTATGTTTCTCATTTTCCGGGGGGTGGGGCAAGTGCCTTCTCATGCCCCCTCTGAGGACGCGCGTGCTTACGATTTAAAGATCTGAGGTGTCCTCCTACAAGACAACATGGGAAATCTTCATTGATATCTCTACTAGAAAAGAAAAAGTATAATATTTGCAGCTAGATTCCCACATTAAAAAAAGATCTTACATCATAATCGTTCTAATTCGAAACGTGAAAACCTCTTTAGACTCATATTCTTTTGAATTAGTTTGAAAAGTTCTTTTCTATATTTTACCAACAGATTAAATAAAAAAAGAGCTCTTAGATTTTTATAAATCAAAGAAAAATCATCGTTTCGGTATTATGCGTAATATATTCTTATATAAAAACGTTCCCAACATTAACAACTTTAATTACAAATAGCACAGAATTAACAGATACTTTTTGTTATTCAATAGATTTTTGTCTTGTAATGCTTTTTGTGTAAGACAAACAGATTTGTTTGTTTGTTGTATTAAGCACAAAGCTACACAATGAGCTATCTGTGCGCTGCCCACTACGTGTATCGAAACCCGGATTCTAGCGTTGTCCGCAGACACTGGGGGGCAAGGCAAACAGAACATCTACATCTACAACGTGTAATTTACATAAACCACACGCGAGAAATAACACAAAAATCTCTTGAATATTTTAAATATTTTATTGAACATAATAATAGAATAAAATATCTTATATCAACAGCCTTTCATTATTTCATTTTAAAATTTAGGGATGTAAAACATTGAGAAATATTGTTCTACGTAAAATACAAACAGTTTGAATTTCTAAAATTAACTTAGGTTAGACGTCTTTTCCTTTTGGAGATGTATAACTGCTTTTTCTAAAATTTTCGAATCTCAAGTCTGTACTTTTTTATATTTCTTCTTTTCTCTATATACGGTGAGAAAACAGCTGATGAACAGTTATAAGGAAGCGAAAGTACTTTATTTCCTGTTATTATTTTAACAAGATAAATATAAGAATAATCATTGAATTTGAAATAAAATCAGAATCTGTAGTTCGTGCTGGTGGTGACTGATTTTATCATATTTTTTTAATTTATTGAATTTAAGGTTTTTTTTAATTCTATCTAGATCCCTATGTATAACTTTGGGTGTACAAATCTTAGACTTCTATGATGAACTTTCAGTAATAAAATGTTTTATTTGCAAGTCATATTATGGGTATTTTTTAATAAGTCTTTAGTGTTTCACTTGAAATGGAAATAAGACTGTTAGCCTGAAGGGCAGCATATGTGTACGTAATAAGCCAAATACCCCTAGGTTTCATATATATTTCATTATGAAAGAAACTATTGTTACTTACAATCGTATAAGCTCGACAGGTAAGAATTTTCACAAAAGTTTCTGTAAATGTGATATAAACAAAGCGATCAAAATGTTCATACGTACCTCTGAAGAAATCAGTATCTGACACAGTATATTGTAAGACATTCAACGAGTTCTTTAAATGTGGATATAGCTACTTATCATTTTTCTGTTTGTAATTTATTTAACATTTAAGAATTATATTTGAACCTCCTTGGATTTGCAAATTTGAGCTTCTTGTGGGGGCCAAAGGAGTTTGGAGTGTTTTTTTTTAGCAAGTTTCCACGGATTTATGTATAAATTGTTAGAGACATCTCTGATATCATATTAAATATTTTTTTTCACTTTTGGATTTTTGAGATTTTCATACTAGGTTCCCCAAAACTAGAATCTCAATTAAGTTTTAGGCTCTCAAAATTGCCTGAAATGGCTTGCATGAACTTTGGCATTAGCATGTGAAAACTTGTTCACTTAGTGGTTTTTCGTGAATCATCGTTAAAACCACATTAAAAGAGAAATGACTTATATAGTGGTAATTGCAGCCTTGTTTGTTCAACTGAAAAACCAAGTCAGTCAATAAACATCGAACATTAGAAAAAGAAATCGCCAAGTTCAAATAATTGACTAGCTTCCTACACCAAAATCACCTTGCATAACATGAACTGGATTTTATGGCAGGAGCAGATATGGTTATTGAAGCTAGGAGTGTAAATGTTAAGTTAAACTTTGTCTCGAAATTTATATTTGTCATTATTTTTGTGTAAATCTGGTTATAAAATGTTGTCTTATTTTTTAATGTTCGTTTAAAAGAAATATTTGTTTTAATAAATTTGAACGGCCGTTTAAAGCAATAAGAATGAAATTAACATTGTTTTTACCTCTGTTACTCACATTTCCTGTCTCATTTCTGTTATATTTATAAAAAAAAGTATTTCTGTTTTCTCCCCTTTTGTTTACGAAGGATTAATCTTACTTTATAAAAACGATATTCTATATCTCCCGCTGCCTTGGAAAATACTTCTTCCACGTTAATTGCCTGATGGTGATGATTACGTACAATTTTAGACATCACAATTTTCATTTCAAGAAGCTCATTTAAAATATGCCGAGGTAAATCTTAGACCACAAATCACGAGAAACTTTCCGTAGTCCTACCAATGTACGTGGACTTCAGTTTCCAAGACTACGTTTAAATAAACCAAATGCCATGGGAACTACGAGGTGACATTATTCACTCAACGACAAACAGTCTGCCTGGGGCAGAGTGCTGCAAAGCTCAGTGATCAAGTCGCTAAAATTGCTCTATGAAACAAGAAGTAACAACAAAAGGAGAATGTAAATATACTTTACTAACCATTTTATACAACAGAATATTAAAACTTATCAAAGTTTTTAAAAAAGGTTTGACGTTAGAATAACATAAGTTTATTTATCGATAGTATTAAGTGCAGTAAAGTTTACTCCTAACTAAAGTAAAAAAAA